TGATATAAATATGTAGAAGATAAAAATTTTACATATAATTATGTATGTAGACTACCCAATAGGCTTGAATAAAGACAATCAGAATTAGAGTTTGAGAGGAAGGTAGATAATGACAGGTATGTAAAACTCAGTCCCATTCCTCCATGTTAGCAGTTACTAGCTGAAAATAAAAATGAGGGAAAGTGTTCTATTCATATGAACAATTAAGTCCATATATATATGAAAAGGAAATTATAAAACCTCTCTGAAGGAACACAAAACTATAAAATCTTATTGAAAGACATAAAAAAAATCTGAACAAATAGAAAGACAATAGCCATGTTCTTACATGAGAAGATTTAATATAGTAGAATAAATATGTAAATGCAGTATTACTCCAATGGAAATTCAACCAGGGTGTGTTTAAGAGGTAAGTTCTAGGGTCCAGGTGGAAATGATAACATTTTCCTAAAGTCAAATAGAATAAATGTATGAAAATTGCCAAGAAAATTATGGGAAAAAGACACAGAATAGGGAGAAGTCTTGCCTTATTAGGTATAAAACATAGTATAAAGTAACATAATGAAAACACTGTGATTGTGTTGGCACAGAAGTAGACAAGAAGTTTATAGAACATAGTGGACAGTTCAGTAATAGATCTCAGAAAATAAGCCATTTGAATTTCACAAAGGCAATAATTCAAGTGAGGAAAAGTTATCAATAATCGGTACTGGCCCCACTAGCTCTCTGTCTAGGAGATAATAAAGTTATATACTTATCTCATTCCATTTTAACCCATTCCAGAGAATTTGAAATTTAGGAAAGTCTTAGAAGAGTTTTAGTAAACTCCATGTTCAACCTAGGGGTTGGGACGGAGGGACACACCTTTCTTAACAAAGAGAGAAAATGCAAAAACTGTAAAAGATGAGCACAGTTGCCTCTTTCAGCCTATAATAATTTTGTAAGGCAAAGATATCATAGACAGAGCCAACTGACAAATGATAAATTGGGGAAAGATGTTTGTAATATAAATGTTAAATAATTTCCGAGGCTCTTAAAAGTTTCTATCAAAAAGACAGTCTACCTAGAGATAAATGAGCAAATAAGATGTACATACAGTTCAGGAAAAAAGAAATATAAGTGTTTGGTCTTCCCAGTAATCAGGGAAATACAAATGAAGATAAAAAGGCAATCAGATTAGATTAGCCAGATATGCACATTGTCCAGTGTTGATAAGGATATAGACACTTGTTGTTGTTGTTGTTGTTGTTGTTGTTGTTAGGTGCTATCAAGTTAAAGACAACAAATAGAAACCTTTTGAACCTGAATTCTCCTATCCTGTGCCATCCTCATCATCTCTGACATGCTTGAGCCCATTGCAACAGTCACTGTGTCAATCCATCTGTTGGAGGGTCTTCCACTCTCTCACTGAACCTCCACCTTTCCAAGCATAGTTGTGTAAATAAGTATAGCCATTCTAGAGAACAATTTGTCAATCTCTTCTAAAATGAAATGTCCCTGCCTTATGACATGGCAGGTCCACTTTTTGGTGATGTCTTCTAGTGAGATTGTGTTTTATTATGTATTTCTTGTTGTGCACCATCAAGTTGGAACCAATCCATAGCTGACCTCCCAGCAGGTTTTCAGAGGCAGGAAATCACACAGGTGGAGATTGCCCATGCTTCTCCTGCAGAGCAGCTGGTAGATTAGAACTGTACGCCTTTGGGGGTATGCTTAGTAACCAAGAAAAGGCTGCTGCTGCAGTATTGTTTTATACTTGAAATATTGAAAATAATACTCTAAGTCAGTAGTTGTTGTTTGATGCCATTGAGTTGACTATGACTCCCAGTAACTCTTTGAACAACAGATCAAAACCTTGCTCTATTCTGTGTGGTCCTCATGATCTGTGCTGTCTCAAGGCCCTCGTTGCAGTCACTGTGTCAGTCCGTCTCATTGATGGTCTTCCTCTCTTTAACTGACCTGCTTGTTCCAGCATGATGGCCTATCTAAGGACTGACAACATACCCAAGTGTGTAAAGTTTCACCACCTTGTTTCTTTAGAAGAAACTTTGTTGCTCTTTTCAAATGTTGATTTAACTTTTAAATGATTTAATGTTGCTCAGTTGACTTAGATTGTTGTTGTTGTTGTTAGGTGCCATTGAGTCAAGTACGACTCATAGCGACACTATGAACAGCGTATCTGAACCCTATCCTATCTTGTGCCATCTTCATACTTCCTGACACACGAGAGCCCCTCCCATCAGTCACTGTGTCAATCCACCTGGTTGAGGTGACCCTCCACTCTTTCAAGAACAATGCCCCGCGCCAAGAAATAGCCCCTCTTAGCAACATGCCCAAAGTATGTGAGGTGAAGCCTCATCATTCTTGCCTCCAAAGAGCACTCTGGCTGCACCCTTTCTCTAAGATGTGTCTGTCTGTTCTTTTGGCAGTCCATGGGATGTTCACTGCTCTTCTCCAACTTCACAGCTCACAAGCATCAATTCTTCTGTCATAGACCAAGGCCTGAATCACACGCCCCTTAGTCCTCAAACTGATATCATCACTCCTCGATAATTTGGAGAAGTCCTTAATTGCAGATTTTCCCAGTGCAATGCATCTCCCTATTTCCTGACTGCTGGTACCAAGGGTGTTAATTGTGGATCCAAGTAAGATGAAGCTGTTTACAGTTTCAGTATCCTCTCCATCCATCATAATGTTGCCTGTTGGTCCAGTGGTAAGATTTAAAATGAAACATTCATGAAAATGTATTCTGATGATGGTTGCACAATGTGATTGATGTTACTGAATTGTACACATGAAAAATGTTACATTGGCTATCTGTCTATCTAGCTATCTAATCTATCTATCTATCTATCTATCTATCTATCATCTATCTATCTACACAGAGATATACTTACAGCATTTAAAAAGTAATACAGCATCCATACCATAGAATACTCTATGAGATTTAGAAAGGGAACGGTAAATATATCTTAAAGATATATTGTTATTGTTGTTATTGTGTACTGTAGAGTCAGAACCAACCCATAGCTGACACTCCAAGTGGGTTTTCAGAGGCAGTTAATCAATCGGGAGGAGATTGCCCATCTTTCTCCCTCAGAGAAGCTGGTGGCCTTGAACCACCTTGAACCACGGGCCTTCATGATTGCAGCGCAGTATCTTGCCATTTGGCCACCAGCGCTCCCTATTATTAAATATAAGTGTATACACTTACATTTAATAAATGTGGAAAGTCTAGATGACTAGTCGTAAGAAACTGTACTGCAAACTCAAAGCACATGGTTCAAATCCACCAGCTCCACACCTACTTCAAAGCCTACAATGTGCCTGGGAGGAAACATTTTGCAAATAGTACTAATCACTGTGATGGGTTAAATTATATTTCCCTAAAACATGTGTTGAAATCCTAAACCCTATACCTTGTATGTAATCCTGTTTGGCCATAGAGTTTATGTTCATTAGCTCACAGCAGAGTCAAGTGGATTGTTTCTAATTACTTCTAAGTTAAGGATGTAGATTAGAATCAGAGATATACTCGCATGACTAAGAACAGGGGACAGGTACCATGTAAGGATCCCCCAGAAGCTGATCTACAAGAGTCTGTATAAAAGGAAGGAATGAATACAGCCAAGATACTAGTTTGGACTTCTAACCTTCTTCTGAAGGCTTGCTGGAATTTTTGTGAGAAAATAAATTTCTGTTCTTTAAGATTAAAAAAAAAAAAATCCACCAGCTACTCACAGGAGAAGGAGGAACAATCTTCTCCTGTACAACTTACTGCCTCTCAGAATCTATTGGAGGGTCAGCTATGAGTTGATTCTGACTCAACAGCACACAACAACATTAAGTGTAAAAAGTTGTAAAACAACTATGCACAGTGTGGTACCATTTCTATAAAACACTAAATGCAAAACTATGTAGTTCCAGTATGACAACAATCTGGAACAAAAAGGGCATTGCAAAGTAGACTGGGGGAGAGGGGAGAAAAAGGGAGGAAAGAAAATACACATCAATGAATGAATAAAAAGAAAAATATTTAAAACCACTGTAGTTCCATATGTACAAATGTGTGTGTAAGGGTGTGGACCACAACCCATCTGTGAGATTACTGTACTTTTTGAATTTTTGTGTTGTTCTGATAGTGAATGCTGTGCCACTGCTTTTCAGATGCCAATGGGATCGCCCATGCTGAATGGGCTTCAGTGGCATTACCAGACTAAGACAAAGAAGAAAGACCTGGACAGCTATGCTTGACTATTAGCCACCGAAACACAATGGATCACAACAGAATATATGGTCCACTTTAGTGCTAAAAGATAACCCTCCTAGGTTGGCAGATACTCAAAATTCATAGTGGTCATAGCAGTGGGCCAAGGCATAGCAATGATTGTGCTCAGGACCACGCAGCATTCTGTGCTCTCATACATGGGTCACTGTGAGCTGGAGCCAATTGGGTGGCAGCTAATACAGACACGGTCCAGGGCTCCAGGGAGGCCTGGAAGGAGAGTCAAAAAACTACCAGGAATGACAGCCCCTGGGAATGGTAGCTGATTTAAAGTGGGCTTTGATTTATCTTTATTGCTGGACATTTTGGCAAGAATACATCTAATAAGAATGCATTTAAAAATAAATTCTAAAAAAAATAAATTCTATGTTAGGGTCAAAGATAATTAAAATTCCATGTTAGGGTCAAAGTCAGATAAATTTGAATAGGAGGCATGTGATGAAAGACAAGAAGGAACACAAGACTGTCACCTAGCAATACCCACTCAGTCCTAACAAACTGTTAGCTTGGGTACCCTCATCCTCATCTAGGGGCTGGGGGTCACTTGTCCAAGGTCAATAGTGGTGATTGTTGTTATGTTCTGTCCTGTCAGAACCAACTCACAGCTGACCTTTTCCAGAGGTAGCAAATCACACAAAAAGGATTTGCCCTGAGGAATACCTTGTCAGGCCCAGGATCTAATGTGTCCTCTTCTCCATTGTGTCCCTGGCCAGGTGTTGCCATGGTGATGGCGGTGGAGGATAGCACGGTGCAGGTGGTGGTGCGCGTCAGACCCTCAACCCCACGGGAGCTGGAGAGTCAACGACGGCCCGTGGTGCAGGTGGTGGATGAGCGGGTGCTGGTATTTGATCCTGAAGAGTCTGATGGGGGATTCCCTGGCCTGAAATGGAGCGGCACGCACGATGGCCCCAAGAAGAAGGGCAAAGACCTGAAGTTTGTCTTTGACCGAGTCTTTGGTGAGACGGCCACCCAACAGGATGTGTTCCAGTACACCACCCACAGCATCCTGGACGGCTTCCTCCAGGGCTACAACTGCTCAGGTGAGAAAGGGCGAGAAGAGGCAGAGCCTGAGGAATGGAGAGTTGTCATGCTCCCCTGCTTCCTCCAAAGAGTTTCATGTGTCTTCTGGCATATGACCGCCCCCCCCCCCCAACTGGGTATGACTTATTGAGGCCCTTTCACTCCTTGTGGGTCTCAGTGCATTCTTTTACCACATGCAAGGTGCTATTCTGGGTCTTAAGGATGCAGTAACAGACCAAAGAGACAGGACTCCTGCTCTCATGGTGCTTCCAGTCTAGACACTACTTACAAAATCACACCAGCAAGAGGGTGGCTGTAGACTGAGATAAAAGAGAAAGGCACTACCAAACGCTGCAGCACAGACATGGAGGGTGCAAGTGGGTAGAGGCAGTGCCATGGTGGACGTGGAAGCCAGAGGAAAGGGTCTTGGAGATGAAGAAGGCCAAGCAGATGGGAATGCACTGGAGAAGAGCCCAGAGAAGGTAAATCTGCCCTCTCATCCCTCCCTGTCTGTCCTCTCCAGTGTTCGCCTATGGAGCCACGGGGGCTGGGAAGACACACACCATGCTGGGCAGGGAGGGGGACCCTGGCATCATGTACCTGACCACCATGGAGCTGTACCGGCGTCTCGAGGCCCGCCAGGAGGAGAAGCAGTTTGAGGTGCTCATCAGCTACCAGGAGGTAGGGCGATGCCAAGACCACCCACCCTTCAGCTTCCCAGTCACCGGGCTGAGGGCTGGAGTAGAGTGAACAGGAGGAATGGGTGGGGAACAGGGTGGCAGCAGGTGGATGACTTAGATCTACATGAGAGGCCAAGTGGGCATAGAGACGACCACTTTTGTTCCCTGAATGTCATCCTGCCAAGTGCCACTGGTAGTGTGGGGTCACAAACACCAATCCGACTGTTTCCCTCTCCTCTCACTCAGCCTGCACTGCCGGCCACAGGGAGAGATTATCCATGTGCCACCTCACACCCTCCCTCTGGTCTCTCCTTGCCTCCTTTCTTCCTCCTCAGGTGTACAATGAGCAGATCCACGACCTCCTGGAGCCCAAGGGGCCCCTTGCCATCCGTGAGGACCCCGACAAGGGGGTGGTCGTGCAAGGCCTTTCCTTTCACCAGGTGTGGGGTTGGGCTTGGGTGGATGAGCAGTCCTATTGGTCCTCCAGGGTTCCCTCAGGAGGCATTTTGGGGAAGTCCTGGGTCCTGTCATGGTGGTGGTAGCCCGTCCTGTCAGAGTTAAGGTCCTGATGGGAGAGACCACAGCCCTGCTTACTAAGCCTCTCCTCTGCAGCCAACCTCAGCTAAGCAGCTGCTTGAGATGCTGACCCGGGGCAACCGCAACCGCACGCAGCACCCCACCGATGCCAACGCGACATCCTCCCGCTCCCACGCCATCTTCCAGGTCAGGGCCTGGGTTAGGGCCTGGAGACTGGACCTCCAGGTGGTCCAGCACCCCACTGACTCCTATCGTCTGCCTCCAGATCTTTGTGAAGCAGCAGGACCGGGTTCCAGGACTGACCCAGGCCCTGCAGGTGGCCAAGATGAGCCTGATTGACCTGGCTGGCTCGGAGCGGGCGTCCAGCACCCATGCAAAGGGCGAGAGGCTGCGGGAGGGTGCCAACATCAACCGCTCGCTGCTGGCACTCATCAATGTCCTCAACGCCCTGGCCGACGCAAAGGTAAAAGTACATGGTCCTCCCAGGATAGCGACCAGGAACCCATTCCTCCAGCCCACATAGCCCATGGCCTCCCTCCACACCCCTTCACCATGTTACAGGGCCGCAAGACCCACGTGCCCTACCGAGACAGCAAGCTGACCCGCCTGCTCAAGGACTCCCTCGGGGGCAATTGCCGCACAGTGATGATCGCCGCCATCAGCCCCTCCAGCCTGACCTACGAGGACACTTACAACACCCTCAAGTATGCTGACCGGGCCAAGGAGATCAAGTTCTCGGTGTGTGCCGCCAGAGACTCGTGACCCCTAGCATCGGGGGCCTCAGCTAGATGAGGAAAGGGACATACGTAGGCCAAGGATTTCCTGAGGCAGCGGAAAGGGGTTCCTTAGCCTCTATCTTCAGGAAATTCTGTGATGGGATCAACGGAGTTCCTGTCCTTCAGAAAGCTCCAGTTAGAAGGGAGGCTGGGCTGTCCCCAGGACATGTGCAGACACAAAAGTAGACTATTACACGCCTGAGAGGAAGGCAGTAGTGTTGTCCAGTGATTCACACACCCCTCCAGACTGCTTTTTGGGAGTTCAGGTGGCCAAGTGGCAAGAAGCTGCACTGCAATTCCGGAGGCACTTTATTTGAGGCCACCAGCAGCTCCATGAGAGAAAGATGGGCAGTCTCCTCCCATGTGACTAACTGCCTCTCAAAACCTGCCGGAGGGTTAGTTCTGGGTCGGTTCTGACGCTATGGTACACAACAACAACAGACTGATTTTTAGCAGCAGGACCATATTTTCAGCTAGGTCTTCAAACACTAATATATAAAACTAGTGAAAGCCCATTTGAGCTATTTTTGGCTACCCGCGTGGCCTCCCCTTGCCCACCTTTTGGGGGTTCCCATACTCCTGGTGCTGAGGAAAGCCCAGTGGTAAGATCCATTAGGGAGCCAGAGGTTTTGCAGTTCAAAACACCTTTGTTCCCCTGGTTGTTAGGGTGAGCCCCAGTAATGTGAATTAGCTGTCTGGCACATACCTGGATGTTGAGGTAGTTGATAAGCCAATTTGATTAAATACACAAATCTCTCCTCTGTGCCCCTGACTCCAGCTGAAGAGCAATGTGGTCAGCCTGGACTGTCACATCAACCAGTACGCCACCATCTGCCAACAGCTGCAGGCCGAGGTAAGGAGCCGTCCAGGGAGCCAGGCAGGGGGATGGAGGGGGAGATGAGAACCTGTAGTGTGGGGAGGACTCTTAGAGACTGAGCTGATTCCATTCAAGGTGACCACCCTGAGAGAGAAGCTCCAGCTGTACGAGGCAGGAGCCCGGACCTCACAACAGGAGCCCACACCATTCCCCAAATTGGCCCCGCTGCAACCACAGTGAGTTTATTTCACTTTCCTGCCCTCACACACTTTAGCCTGCCAGCAGGATGGGGAACCAGTCCCCCTTCTCCAACTTCTAGAGGGCTAGGATGACCTGCTTCTGTTCCTGCATGGAGAGTCAGGGTCCCCTCCTACTGCCCGACACTGTTACCTCTAATGTGCCCTATACTGTGTCAAATGAGAAAATAACACCCCAGCCCACCTAAGCAGTACCTGGCAACCAGGAAAAGGTGAAGTTAGGGGTTTGATATCACTATTACTAAAACTAGACAACCCCTGACTCCTCCCCTCACTCTTTGCTAATGCCTGTTTGATACCCAAACTCCCATCCCTTATGAATTCTGTACCATGTAGTGCCAGAGACCCTACCTTTCCAACTCCCTGCTTTCTCCACCTGCTCCCCACAATGCCTCTCTCTTGTTTCTCCTCAGCCTTCCTGATACTCTCTCACCATCCCACCTTCCCAGCCAGCCTTGCACCCCAGAGCTTCACCCAGGGCCTGGTATCCTTCAAGAAGACAGCTTGAAAACTGTGCCCCCGATAGAGAGGGCTGGGAAAGAGAAGTCCCCAGACCAGGAAGAACCCCCAAAGGACAAGGATGAAGGACCAGCCAAGCAGGTAGGACTTGAAGTCAATGATGTCTGGACATTTGAAAGGCCTAGAGCTGATAGAATATTGAGAGAAATGAATGGTTCTCCCCAATTCGGAGTCCCATTAGCTTAATTTTCTACCCGAGTGTTTTCTTAGTAATTTGGAGGCCTTAAAACTCTCCAAATGGAGATGCAGGAAAGAGAAGTATTCTCCTTGTATGTCTGGAACTGTAGAGTCTGTGTTACCGCGAGGGGATCAGAGAAGAAGGAAAGGAGGCTGAAGGGAAGAAGACATTCGAGGAAGCCCTCTTGGAAAAGGGAAAGATCTTAGAAGCCGTAAAGGGAGGACAGTGGTGGTTTGGTTGTAGAATTCTTGCCTTCCACATAGGAGACTTGAGGTTCAATTCCCAGTCCATGCACCTCCTGCAGCCACCTCTCATCTCTCTGTCAGTAGAGGCTTGCATGTTGCTGAACGGGATTGATCAGAGCTTCCAGTCTAAGATGAACTAGGAAGAAGTGACCTGGTGATCTGCGTCTAAAAATCAGCAAATGAAAAGTCTGTGGGTCACACAGGCTGACCTGCGGCTGACCAGAGAGAACCAGGCAGCTTTTTATTCTACTGTGCATGCAGACTCAACCTGACAGTGAAGTGAAGAGAAGGAAGGCTTTTCCCAATGATTCTTCCTTTTTCTTAGGTTCTCATCCCGATGGCAGAGCAGAGCCTCAGAAACCCATTTCCAGGGTCCCCTGGCCTGCGCCAGCCCACGCCAGCCAAGGACAGGGATTATTACAAGCAGTAGGTGTCTTCTAGCTCTGCTCTGGGTCCAAAATAGGAGGTGATGGGTGATGGGTCCCGGGCTCCCAGAGCCTCCTGGGTGGTGGGCATTGTGTCCATCACAGAAGCTCTGATTCAGCTCCAATTCAAGTTTCTTTTCCTCGATGTTGTCCCTTATCTGCTTTCGACTCCTTGATTCTCTCACCTACTCTGTTTACCCTTCATCGTTTCCATTTATTCCTCCACTTTGTTGGCAGCCCAACAGGAGAGGGAAGCCAAGTAACAGATTCCGTCCAGAAAGACAAGCATGCACCAAGTGAGGGCCAGGTTACTTGGGCTGGTGCTTGGTTTCCCGGTCTGAGGGCAAAGCTGCCCATTGTCAGCCAGAAGGCAAACCTCAGGGTGGGGAAGGGGCAACCCTCCTGAGCCAGGTATTTATCGTGTGTCTCCATCCACAGACACTGACTGTTTTTTCTCAGAAGTAAATACAAGCCACCACCCAAAGCCAGAGCAATGGATTTTGGGCTGTTCTTTCTGTGCTCAGTGGAAAGATGCTGCTAGGGGTTTTGTGGTGTTTTGTTTTTTTTTTCCTTGGCCCCCAATACATATATCCTCTGCCACTTAGCTTTGCCGCTGCCAACCCTACTGCTCCCTCCCTAGCACGCTTCACGCTAGGCAGTGTATTTAAAGCTTCCGGACAGAAGGGCCTGTTTAATTTTATTTCTTGTTGGGGAGTGTCTGTTCCCGACTCAGCAAAAATGCTGCAGCCTGAATAATCAGCAGCTCATTATCTGTCTCCTGCTGCCGGCTCCCCGGGGCCCTGGAGAGGCAGGGCTGCACTGGCAGGATGTCCCCACAGCCCCCTAGGGCTCCCACTGATGACTCAGGGTCTCTGCTTGGTGTCCCCCTGTTGTGAGGAGAGAAGACACCACAGTTCTCATTTCTGCTTTGTTCTCAGTATGGTTTTGAGGTTTTGTGTCAAGTTGCTTCATCCTTGGCTATGATACGGGGATTGTAGCCCTTATTTCCCCTGCCTTTCAGAGCTGGAATGTATTGGATTCAAATGGAACAGAAAACAGTAGCCAAGTACCAGGGCCTGCAAAACATTCTAGATCATCTCGGTATTTGGAAATGCTGAACAACCAGATAATCAGAAATTTCTCTATGCCTTTAGAATTTAGATTCTGAGACCACCAGGGCATTGAGTAGATAGATCTTAGATTTTCCAGTTCAGTGATTTTTCAGTTTTTTTCTTTTCAGCTGCCAAGTCCTTTTCTCAAATGAAATCTATGCTGAGGTCTAATATGTGGAACAGACAAAACAGAACTGCACTGTTTGCAGCGTCCTCTTGGCAGTTTTTTGAGACCTAATTTGGAAAGCTCTGATTTAAATCTGCTCTCCATTTGTCACATGGGGTACTGTGGTCCCAGGATCCCACAGCAAGGGAGATAAGGTCAGCCCTGGGCCACCTAACACCCAAGCCAATGCTTTTCCTGCCCCTAACAACCATTTTTCTCAGTAGTCTAGTCTTCCTTAGCATGTGGGGCTCAGGTAGACATAGAATGAGTTTATTCCTTTGTGTCTTTTTTATTTCTATCCTGTTCTCTTTCTAAAAGGCCCTAAGGCTGCTTTGTAAAATGAGTTTGGGCTCCCTGAGCACACACTGAGGGCAGCAGAGGGCCTTCAGAACCATCCGGGCAGCTGGGGCTACCTGAGGAGAAATTATTTGCCATGAATAATCCCCACTGAGATAATTGGGTTTATTCTTTTATCACAGGTGTGTCTTACAGAAAGAGAATTTGCTTTATTAGAATCTAAATTTACAACATCCATAATCACATTACACTCAGAATTTCCTTTAAATAGCTCTCCAAACCAAAACCCAGGCCAATTGCTATTGAGTTAATTCCAACTCACAGGACAGGGTAGAACCGGCCTGTAGGGTCCGCCAGGCTGTGATCTTTATGGAAGCCGACTCCTCATCTTCTACAGGGAGCCGCTGGTAGGTCTGCACCTCCTGGTTAGCAGCCAAGCGTTAAAATAACTCTTTAACCAAATAACCAAGTGCACCACCAGATAGCTCCTGAGTGTGTGAAATAGCTGATCCATACATACTTCTTCAGGAGCCCAGTTATTTAATAGAAAGCACAAACTGCAAGCATTTTAGGGCATCCCCTCAGAACCAGCCCATCATATTTAATTTCATTTTCTCCAACCAAGTTAGATAGTATTGGTTCATGTTAGAAGAAAACAATAATTAACTACCTTCTAGGATGGCTCAGAACCTGGCCGTGTTCTGTTCTTGTAAGCAGGGTTGCTACAAGTCAGAATCGACTCGGCAGCATCTAACCATAGAGCTTAGGAGCCTGCCGGGCACAAGTGGCTTGCAACTGGCTGCTATCCAAAGGTTGACACTTCGAACTCACCAGTAGTGCTGTGAAAGAAAGGTCTGGTGAACTGCCTCCTTAAAGACTACAGCCAAAAACCTCTGGAGCACTTCTACTCTGTAACACACGAGGCTTGGATGTGTTTGGATCCACTTGACAGCAGCTAACAACACTAAAGCTTATCATGTGCCCAGCACTGTTTAAACATTTGCTCTATTAAGTAACTAAGTCTCCCAACAACCTTGTGAAGTAGGTACTTTAAATATCCTCATTTTAAGAATATGGAGACTTCTTAAGCAATATATCCCAAAATCACACAGCTGGAAAGGGCTGGGGCTGGGATTTGAACACACGCGGCCTGATTCTTAATGGCTACTTGGCATTGCTCCCTGGGTGAATGAACTGAGTCAAAATCAGACCAGAAGCCAAAGGAGAACTCGTATGTTCTGTGTCCAAGGCCTTCTAGCACCTTTCTCTAATTTCCCGTCACTGAAGACTTTGTTGTGTGTGTGGTGGGTGAAGCCTCCTGCCATCACCTTTGGAACAGGAGCCAGGGCTGGGAGGGTAGAGGGGCCAGCCTGAGGAACCAGGGAACCAAGCCAGCAGCTCACATGTGTCTTTACACCTGGGGCCATGGGGAGAGGTGCAGCCAAAGGAACTCCGTTTGGTTGGGTCTCAGCAGGAACTTGTGTCCCCTTCCCTTCTATTTCAGGTTGGCCCTGAAGGTGCTATGCCTGGCCCAGCGGCAGTACTCCCTGCTCCAAGCAGCCAACCTCCTGACCTCGGACATGATTGCGGAGTTTGAGGCCCTCCAGCAGCTGGTGCAAGAAGGAAAGGCTGAGCCCCAAACGGTGGCTTCCAGGTCCCCTAGCCTGGCCAGTGGAGCGCCTCTGGCTCAGGAGCTGTGTTCACAGTCAAGTGAGTCTGCATCCTGCTCTGCTTCTGCCAATCAGCGCATCTCCAGGGCTCAGCTAAGGCCGAGGGGTGCTGGGACCACAGATGCTGGGTGCCAAGGTAGGAGGCTGGGCTCATGGCAATGTGGAGCTGTGGTGGGCCTAAGATTGTAGGGGTTCCTTCATGTCTCACATGTCTCAGTTTTAAACTCTGTAATCCCCCTTCCCTGTGGCCATTCTCAGCCTTTTCCCTCAGTGCCCTCTCCTTGGTACCCAGGGTCCCCTGTCTTCTAGATACTTCCATTTCCCCTGAGCACCCTCCTTTTCTGTACCCAGAATCTCCAGGATACTCTGGCCCTGTGACCCGGACCATGGCAAAGCAACTGAGTGGCCTTATGTCCACTCTGGGGATCCCACCTGGGCTTGACTGCACCCCAGTCCAGGCACCACAACGCCGCGCAAGGAAAAAGAAGAGGAAACTGAGCCCCTCGGAGCCACGAAGTCCCCCAGCCCCTAAGTTGGGCACCAAGCGCCAGCACCAGTCATTCCAGCCCTATATGGGGAGGGGTGCTCTGCCTGACATCGAGCCAGCACTGGGACCCTGCATCCCCAAAGCGAGAAGGACCTCCTCTCCCTGCCGAACCCCTCGCTTCTGCCCAGCCACAGTCATCAAAAGCCGGGTGCCCTTGGGTCCTTCTGCCCTGCAGAACTGTTCCACACCCCTGGCCCCTCCCGCTCGGGACCTCAACACCACCTTTGATCTCTCAGAGGAGCCCCCTGCCAAGCTGGCTTTCCCTGGATGCCTTAGCGAGGGGAACATCGCCCTGGAGCTGGACAGGCTGGAGCAGCCCTTCATCTCCAGGTGGGTCTTCCAGCCTCCCTCTCAGCCATCCCAGCAGGGCCCAGCGTTCAGTCATGGGCAGGCGAAAAGTCCGCCTCTGTGAACAGGAAGTTAGCTTTGCTCACAGGCCCAGGAGAACATCATATACAGCTCCCAGGAGCTGACCTTTCTTGTGAGACCCTCCCCTGTGTGCCCCCTTCAGAGCTCACAGTCTTCTGGTTTGTGGTCTTCTGTGAGTAGCTGATGGAGTCCTAACATGGGAAGGACTCAGTAAGGGCCGGTGATCAAGGAGGGCCCAGCGTTTGCCATTCCTCTGTGTTGATTGAGACAGGTTCTGGGTCCCACTAGGCAGCACCTGTTTCCACCACTTCCACCCCAGCTTTTTCCATCCAGCCCACCATCTGGAACTAGGAAGAAGATCCTCAGAAAACTATTCAGTTATATTCTCAGTGAGAAGAGGCAGCTCCTACCCTCACCCTCCACACGTGTGGTAGAGAAGAGGCAAGCAGCAGCCAGCTCGGGATAGTCCAAGGCCAAGAGCAAGGGGCCCACTGACCTGTGATGCCAGCCCAGGCCACTGTCATCCCTTGCCCCTCCTATAGCTCTCCCCCCTCCAAGCACCTCTCAGTAACACACTCTAAGTCAGGCAGGTGGAAGGGTGAAATTGTTTGAACTCCAGTTCCCTGGATGCCCCGGAGCCTGACATCTGGATATTCTCCCAGAACAGGCCTGTCACTCAGCTGTCAGCCCAGGCTGAGCGAGGCAGGAGCAGAGGCTGCCTCCTAAGTAGGAAGAAGCCTCAGAGGTCGTCTAGGCTAGACTCCTGCCCCAGTGGGGCCTGAGGGAAGAGGTGGCTGGCACTACTTTGTGGTTCTTTCCTGATCTGTTCTGCTCATCTTCCTCCCTCCTCCAGCGGACCTGGGTTCCTGTTCACTATGAAAGGCCCCAAACAAGCTTCTTCCCTCCCTGGGACTGTGACCTACAAGAAAAAAGGTGTCAGGTAAGGCTGGAAAGTATGGGAGGAGAGAAGGAGCCCCAGGGACTGTGGACACTGGGAATACCATAGGTCTGGAGTCTCCTTCCTCCTTTAGTTAAACATTCCATGATCCTCATGAGGGCGACCTTCAGGGCTCATTGGTTAATCTGATGATTGTACTAACCCCCCACTTCTATTTCCTTCTTATGCCTCAAATCCCACAGACTTCCTCCCCCACCACCTCCCCCACCCTCACCTCTGACCCTGCAAACTCTCGGCCTGATCACAAGGCTTAGTGACCAGCTCTACCCACCCCTCTGTCCTCCAAAATCCAGGGCAGAGCTGTAATTCTCCTGCCTTACCTCCTACAGCTCCTCCACTTCACGTTCCCTGAGAGGGGTCCGGGGCCGCAGCCGCATTGCTCGTCTCCCCAGCAGCATCCTGAAGAGGCCAGCTGGGCCTTTTGCAATCCCAGGTGACCGGCCCTGGGGACAAGGAGGGTCAGGCCTCGGATGTTAGATAAATAAGGGGGGGCGGACAAAGTGGGTTAAGACTTTGTTGAAAGGAGTCTGGAGTACTTCTTAAGTAAACTGGAGACCCTAAGAATGGGGAGACCAGGTGGGGAAGGAGAGTCAGGGAAGCCTATGTTTCTCCTTACTCTCTGCCCTTCCTCCACCCAACTGTCCTGCAGAGCGTCCCTCAAGTCCCTGTTGCCCTGGTGACCAGAGGAACCAGAGGGAACTAGGAATAGGGGGAGCGCCATTGGCTGGGAACTGCGTCGCCAAGGTGTCCTGACCCATCAGCCTTTGCCTGGCTGTCCCCTCTCTGTTCCTGGAGCTGCCTGCATCAGGAGCCCTGACTGCCTCCCTTGGCTCCCTGCAACTAATGCAGCAATCCTTCCTTCACTAACACCCTCCCCGGCCATTCATTCCAGTACTCTCCTTCCTCATCCATCTATTACATCAGCTTCTCAGAATGTACATAGCGAATTGTGAATGTTAACGTGTTGCTGTTTTAAAGGGCATTGCCTGCCACCTTTCTACCCTGGTTTATCATGCCCCCAATGACCAAGCTGGGATGTTTTGTGTTTTGTTTTGGGCCTACCCCCACTTCCAGGGTCTGACCCAAGGGTTTTCCCAGTGAAAGAGGGATGAGAATTAGAAGGGTAGGGAGTCCAAGCTCGGCTCTGTCCTGTTGCCCAAAGCGGGGGACATATTTAGCCCTCCTGCCCCGAGCCTGGAGCAGGCACCCGACGCTGTGACTTCTAACACAGGGTGGCTTGATTGTTCTTCTCCTGTTTTAATAAAAGTATTACACATGAATTATAAAAAGAAAATGTGGGGGGACAAAAAGAGAAATTCAGCCTCCATGCCACTCCCTAGATTGAACTAACTGCTGTTACTGTTTGTTTCTTTGTGACCTTCTATTCTGTGTGGGGAGTTTCTATATGTGTATTCAGTTGATTCTGACTCAAGGAAACCCTGTTTGTGAGGGAGCAGAACTGCATTCTAAGAGGTTTTCTTGGCTATAATCATAGGGAAGCAATCGCCAGGCCTTTATACAAACACAAGAGTACATAGATATATAGACATGAACATACATATAATTACATATATGAGTGTTGTGCTGTGTACTGTACAGATGGAACCAACCCATAGCTGACCCTCCAGCAGGTTTTCGGAGCAGTTAATCTCATGAAAGGAGATGGCTCATCCTCCCACAGAGCAGCTTGTGGATTCAAACCGCGTGCCTTCCGGATTGCAGCGCAGCATCTTGAGTTTATACACACACAAACATATGTAGATATATACACATGAATATACATATATTTACATATATATATATATATATATATGCAATTAGAGTAGGTTGTTTTTTATGATAATATGGATTAATAAACCACCTCCATCCTTAGTGTCATTGTCTCTCTGTTCCTCTAGTGGGGGGGGGGCTGACAACACCTTCCCTCCCTTTCTTACCTTTCTTCCACTTTTCAAGAAGCTCATGAAACTCCTTTGGGTTTAGAAGCAGCTTCCACCCTGCCTCCCCCAGCAGCCTCTGATCTGTGCCCAGTGGTGACCCAAGCTCTGCCGTCCACACCCGAGATTTCCCTCAAGGGAGCCTGCTCCTTGTTTGTACCGGAGGCCTCTTCCTTCCGTCCTTCTGCAGCGTTAGGGCTGGGTTGCCACCAGGCAGAGTGTCTGGTGGTCTCCGGATGTGAGGTAAGGCTTAAGACAAAGCTCCAACCAGTCCCAACCCAGGCCAGTCTGCTCCCACTCAGCTCCACCAGGCCCCACTCCCGCCTTCCACCCCAATTCATTTGGGTTTGTGACAATCTTACACACATCCTTGCCTCCTCTCCACGAAGACATGGTTGGCTGAATGAATTAATAGTGTAAACAAAATTACAGGAGGCTGTGTTTAACTTGCTCCTGAAAACAAACACGTTAATGGTATTTAGCACATTGTGAGTAGTGTGTAAATAATGCTGCTAATTTCACTTGAGATCTAACTGTTATAGGAGAGCAGCCCCTTTCTACCCAGTTAGTTTCTCCCAGTCGGGATTCCTCTTGAGGGAACAGGAAAGAAAAATGCTTCTAGATACTTCTTTGGAGGCATCATCATGAAACTTCACGACCCTTTGAAGGTACTGAGGAAATAGACTCCAAAAAGCTCCCAAGTCTTCCCAAAGCCCAACAGCAAGTGGCAGAGGCAAGATTCTGTGCTTAAAGCCTGGATCTGTACTGCACCGGCTGCCTGCCCCTTGCAAGGGGGCCAGACGGGCACTTCTCTTGCAGATTCTCTTCCCTCCTCTCCAATTAGTCTTAATTAGTTTTCCCCTCCTACACCCCACTGCTCCCACAAGAACAATCCCAGGCTCACCTCTGGAGCCTCCAGCGCCTGCCCTGGTGCCTTGACCTCAGTAGGTCCTGCTGAGCGCTTCCCCCTTCCTTGGGGCCCTCACATACATTATCTCATTTGATCATCACGCTCACCCCTGGAGGTGCAGAGGCAGCTGGCACAGGGCAAGGCTAGCTACTGACCCAGGCCAGGAGGGCAACCTGTGCGCTGTAGGGTCCATTGCACTGGGCAGAATCTGCTTGGGCTGCGGTAGCTGGCAGGTGGACAGGTCACTCTTGACAAGGCTGTTCTGCCATCTTCCATTCACTAAGCAAACACTGGGGCCTCCGCGGGGCAGACTGTGCTCTTGGGTGACCCATTAAATGTACAAAGACTCTGCCGATGGACTGAAGCACGTGAGCTTCCTGCCCTCAATCACGGGGTTCAGCTAAGAGTGCTGGCTTCTCAGAGCCCAGCAAAGAGGGCAGTGGCCTGGTTGGTTTGAGCCTCCCAGGGTGTGGCAGGAGCTGAGAGGGCAGTGAGCTGACAGCCAGCTCCCAGCTGACCTCTGTGGGCAGCAATGAGGTGCTGAGATTGGATTGTTCTTACATGAAGAGGATCATCAGAGTGCCATGGCGATCGATGGCTCCCTGTCCACCATGGGGCCAGCCTGGCCCGAGGGCCCCCTCCTACCTCATCCTGGGCTTTGTCCTGTGGGCACGAGAACATCCTGGCTGAGGCTGACATGAGGAGGGACACTGGTGGAAGGTCACTTTGTGCCTGTTACAGCAATGCCAGTTAACTAACTGCTCTTGGGCCACCTTGGGGAGCTGGCAGCCCCACGCCCCACTTCTGTGAGTGGAAAATGTTCTCTTGCCCAGGTCCTTGATGCCCCCCTCTTGTTTGCAGTCTCCCGGCTCAGTCCTCGAGCCCTACCCTGGGAACAGGTTCCTGTCCAGCTCATAGCACCAGGCTCAGGGACCAGAGTCAACAACAGAGAACAAAACATGGTCCCTGCATCAGGAGGTCAGGGATAGCACCTGTCCCTGTCACCTGCAAGTCAAAACTCAATCACCTGTCTTGGTTGGGGATTGACCTTCCTCTCTGGGTCTCCCCTCCCCTCACCCGTCATCTTGGTCCTTGCAGGCCACTTCATCACGTGGGACACCTCCTTGACAGCTGCTAAGCCTCCTGCTACTCAGACTCCCCCTTGTGTGTCCCTGCTCTGTCACACTGTTTAGGAAATCCTGGAGTCCAGCTAGGGGCTCCAGTGGCACAGTGGGTTTATGTGTTGGACTACTAAGTACAAGTTCAATGGTTCTAACCCACAAGGCCCTCCTCAGTACAGTTGAGACAGTCTGCAGGGCAATTATACTCCATCCTGTGGGGTCTCTGAGTCAGAACCAATGAGAGTGCCATGGGGTTTTGGTTCTTACTCAGTACCTAGTTCCTGGCATCGCCTCCTCCATGATTTTTAGGTGATTTTTCAGGCCCCTGTAAAGGGTTTGAAGTGAGGAAGGGATCACGGTCACCTGGGGGGGGGGAGTATGTAGATATGGGTAGTTTTTCCCAAGAGCCCCCCTCAGCTGGTCAGCAGCTCCCAGCCGCCACCACCCCCTCTCCGGCTCATCCTGTCCATTTGGAGGACCAGTGGATTGGAAAGAACAGGCCGCCTGCCAGGCCTTGCCACCCACCAGGGCCACATCTGGTCCCTGCCTCTCACCCTCCTGGAGGACGCAGCCAGGCAAGGAGAGGAGAGGAGTGAGGAACAAAGCAGATCGAGGAAGGGGGGAAGCAATTATAGGGCCTCTCCAAGGGTTAGAGGGTTAGAGAGGGTGGGTTGGTGTGGGTCTTGAATGGAGAAGGAAGAAAGGGCCTGAGCTCATTAACCCCAGCACAACAGCCTGGCCCCCTGGGGTCTGTGAAGGTGAGTGAGCTGATTCTTTCAAAGTGAAAGAGGGTGGGGAAGGAGTCTGGGGGTTCTGCAGCCACAGGAGTCACTGTTTCTAACCTTCAGGTCACAGAGGTCAGGGACAAAGAGTAATTATACTGTCTTCCAACTGAGAGACAATCTCTGTTTTCATGGAGCCCCAAATCTGACAGTGCCAGGGAGTCCCTGCCCCAGGATGGAAGCTTCAGTAAGAAAACAGTCCTATCCTTACTCTGAGGGAACATACAGCTCTCACATAAGGAAGCTTCCATCTGAGAGAAGAGACATGGCCCTCTTCCTTGGGGAACTTCAAGCTGAGGTGCAGTAAGCAACACATCCGTGAAAGGCAGGTGTACACCAATAGCTTCTCAAAACAGAGATGTGGGCCTCAATAAAGTGGGAGTGGGGCAACGGTGGAAAGCTGAGCCGGCTGGATTGGGGGGGGATGGAGGGAAGGAAGCTGACTGGGAAGCAGCCTCTGCTCAGCTTCCACCAGGGCAATTGATAACAAGAAGTCTCCCCTTGGAGATCAGAAGCCTGGAGCAACTAGTGGTGAGTACAAACATTACTGATTCTCACCCTTCCCTCCTCAGCTACTGTCCCTTTGTGTCCCACCACATTGCCAGGCAACTTCTCCAGGGGAGAAACTGCTCATACATGGCCCCTGGCTCACTCTCGCTGGATCGACTTACATTTGTCCCCACGCCAAAACCTTCACAGACTATTGCTAACTATTGCTGTGGAGTTGAAGCTGATGCCCGTGATGGTCCCATAAGACAGCAGAGCTGCCTCCATAAGACAGCAGAGCTGCCTCTTAAGAGTTTTCAAGGCTGTAATCTTTACGAAAGATGATAGCCACATCTTTCTCCCACAGAGTGACTGGTGGGTTCAAACCACTGACCTTTTGGTTAGCAGCTCAACACCTCCTTCACTGTGTCACCAAGCTCCTTTGGCGCATGGGCAGTGTTACTCTGTGGAAGCTGCCACTTCTCAGAGGAGTCCTGGTGGCACAATGGTTAAGTGCTTGGCTGCTAAACACAAAGGTTGGCAGCAGAAACCTACTAGGGGCTCCATGGGAGGAAGAGCCGGCAGGCGCTCCAGCCTGTAAAACACTGTTAAGTTTTATAAATGTTCACCCATCGCAATAAAAAGTTGAAAAGAAAAAAACAAAACAAAACACTGTTAAGGCAACTCGACTTTGTTTTTCCCTGATTTTATGTTCACGACTACTCTGAAAGTCTCACAGACTTTTGGGCATATTGTCAGGAGGGGCCAGTCCTGGGAAAAAGGACCTCATGCTGAGAAAGGTCATCAAGAGAAAGCCAGCTCCTTCCAAGGTGGATTTCACAGTGACTGCAACAATGGACTTGAGTGCAGCCGGGATGGCGAGGGTGGCACCCAATCCAGCAAGGTTTCAGCCTATTGTGTGTAGGGTCACAAGGCAGCACCCAGCAACAGCAACCACACCTTTGAAAGTGGGTATAATGACTCCTCATTTTACAGATGTCAAAGAAGACTTAGAGAAGGTTCCAGAAGTTGCTTAAATCACACAACTATTGAGTAGCAAAAGCTTCACTTTTTCCTCCGAAACAGTGAGAGGTCATACAGGGGGCACTCTGAATGACTGAAATACAGGTTTTAGAAAATCTGCCTACAGCTTTGAGAATAGCTTGCTTCTGGTCTCTAACTTGGCCTGGCGACCACTTGGACCTGACCAGCTAAGCACTGCCATCTAGTGGTCATTAGGGCTCAGTTCCTTCTCTCATGGACGAACCATGGGATGGACTCAGTGGTGGCCAGTGAGAATTTAGCCTGCAGGTTGAGGCTAGATGTTTCATGGATCCATTCAGGATAGATGTGGGGTTTGTTCCAAAGAGAAGAGCATGCTTGTAGATTCTGATACGGGGAGTCACACAGCGTGGGAGGCCATCCTATCCCACCTCTGCGTGAAACATGGCACTGTTAGGCTGAATGCCCTGTGCTGAGGTGTCCAGGCATTGTCTCTCAACAGCAGGCTGTGTTGTGGTGTCTGGAGGTCAGGCTAGGGTTTGAGTTGAGGCTTCAGAGAGTGTGGCCCTGAGTGGGGCAGAGGTAGCAGCGGGGAGGGCTGCCCTCTCTGTGGCTGGGCGCGCCTGGGGCAGTGAGCATCTGTGGTTTAGATGGGAAAGAGAGAGCCTCAATGATAGGGCTCAGTTAACGTAATGCACAGTAGTGGAAAGCCATGCAGCTGTTAAAATGATGATATAGATAAATATTTATTGATATGGAAAGATGTTCACAACATACTGTTGAGTGGAGAAAGCAAATTACAAAATAATTTGGACAACATGAGTCCACTCTAAAAAAAAATGTGTTTCTGTGTGAGAAAAATCTGGTCATGTTTATCTCCAGGTGGTGAAATTATGGCTAATTAAAAAATATTTTTTGCTTATCTTTATCTTCTCATTTTCCTCCAGTGAACATGTAATGAAAATAATGGAAGTTTGGAAAATTACCACCAATGAGTCTGTGAGCCTCTTCTTCCTTGGTGCTGAAACCTTTAGCCAGTTAAGGGCTGAGTGTGGGGAAGGTTAAGGGTAAAGGTACAGAGCCTGGGTCTGGGACAAGGACCTAGGAGGTGCAAGAGGAGGTGGAGTCTAGGCCCCCCATTGTCGGGTATTGAAGTAATCTATGCCTCATAACCCATTTGCTTTTGAGCTCCCTCAAACTCACCCATTTGTGTCAGAACAGAACTACACGGCAATAGGGTTTTTGATGACTGATTTTCCAGAAGCAGATTACCAGGTTTTCCTTTTGAGGCACCTCTGGGTGGATCTGAACTGCTAACCTTTGTGGTGGAAGCAGAGCCTGTTAACCATCTGCACCACCCAGGGCTTCTGTGTCTCCTTCATCCAATTACAGCTCACCCAGCTTTGCTTTACTGACAGACAGTTCCTTCCTGTCTTTCTTCTCTCTCATGTCTTCATTTCCACCATGATTGCTTTGCAATCATTTCAGCCAGATTCACTTGAACAAGAAGGAAAGCCTGCGGACTGTGACTTGTCCAGCAGCCTGTTAGAACAGCCACTCTCCTGTCACAGAGAGATGGGACAAGGATCAACAACCCAAGGGGTCAACTCAGTATTACTTTATAGCCTCCATCTGTCCCCAACAGGGGACACAGGATGCTCCCTTCCCTGACAGTACTGCTAGTCAGACTGGAGTAAGATGTGGTTAGAGACTCAAGGACAGTCATCTCTGCCTCTCAGGCAGCACGTCAATGAAGAGGACATCCCCCAGCGTGGGGTGAAGGCTTCTTGTCCTGCGAGGGGCTTGGGGGCCTGAGCTGGCTAAGAGCTGGGGAGGGGGCAGACAGGCCCACTCAGCCAAGCTGGAGACTTGGCAGTGCTGAGCTTGATGCCCCCTAGGGCCTTCCCCTCGTGCCCACCAGATGACTCACCTTGGCACAGACACAATGGCCGGGCGTGGGCACAGAGCCTGCTTCTTCCCGCTGCCCTCGGCCCCCCTCAGATGCTTTCCGAGAAGCCCATTGAGCAGGGGGGCTTGGGCTGCTCCCCGGCCTGACAGCATGGCATCTTGGGATAAAAGCAGCACAGCCCCCTGGGGGCTGCCCTCACGGCGTGGCGCCCTCACCAGTGGTGGAGAACAAGGCTCCTTTCAGCAAGTGCCCAGGGAGGGAATGGGAGTCCCAGCATAGCACGGGCAGTGAACTTTGGGGATGGGACAGTGTTGGGGAGGGCACAAAGGGCTGCCGGCTCCCCACAAGTTCAAGGACAGAGCTTGGCAAGGGCCACAGTGGAGCTCCCAAACCATCCATCTCTTTTCCAGTCTTCCCCTCATCTCCCCAGTCTGATGTGTGGGAACTCAGAGGAGATAAATCTCCATCAGGAGAGTGAGGGGGTGGCCAGGGAAACAGGGTGTCACAATAACAAAGATGAGAGCAGGGACAGCCAGCTCATTCGTAACTGTTTTGTGGAGCTGTCAAAGCCTGGCTCCGGGAAAGGGTGCAGGGAGGCCAGGCAGGGGCTCAAGAGTGGCCCAGACTGAGGGCGAGGAGTGCAGGGTTGGCCCATCTTCCCCAGCAGGACCCCAAAGGCTTCCCTGACACCCCTGACTAACAGGCAGAGAAGTTCAACTGATGAGGGGCTGGTGTCCAACCCAGCACCCAAGAAGTGGGTGAGAAGTCGGAATGACGGTATCTGCCTAAAGTGGAAGATTCTGGAAATGGGATCCAGCAGGAAACTTTGAGTGTTCCTTGAGGAGGTGCCTACGGGATGAAAATCAAGAGTTGTGAGACAAGTCAGAAGTCATCCAGTCCAGTCCCATGATCCACTTTCCTAAAAAAGGGTCTGCTTATCCAGGGGTACGCCACTATGCACCACCTGTCAGTGACTCTGTCTGTCACCATCTGTCAGTGACCCTGTCTGTCCGGGTGAGGGCTGGCATGCCCAGCAGGCCCTGTCCCTGGGCACAGTTACCTCAGTGGGGTGAGAGGATATCTCTCCCCCTGACTGGGCTGCAGTCCAACCCCACCCCCTCAGGCCATGCCAAGCAGCAGTGCCAGGGCCGTGCCAGGCCAGCCCACTCCTCTATAAAGCCCTCAGAGGCCAGAAGCAGGCAGAGTCCAGCCAGGATGGAAAGGAGACGCATCACCTCAGCAGCCCGTCGCTCCTATGTCTCCTCAGAGACAGTGGTGGGGGGCCTAGGTACCAGCCGCCGACTGGGGTCTGGCTCCCGCCTCTCCCTGGCTCGAATGCCCCCTCCACTCCCGGCCCGGGTGGACTTCTCCCTGGCTGGTGCACTCAACGCTGGCTTCAAGGAGACCCGGGCCAGTGAGCGAGCTGAGATGATGGAGCTCAACGACCGCTTTGCCAGCTACATCGAGAAGGTCCGCTTCCTGGAGCAGCAGAATAAGGCGCTGGCTGCCGAGCTGAACCAGCTGCGGTCCAAGGAGCCCACCAAGCTGGCCGACGTCTACCAGGCTGAGCTGCGGGAGCTGAGGCTGAGGCTCGATCAGCTCACTGCCAACAACGCCCGGCTCGAGGTGGAGAGGGACAACCTGGCCCAAGACCTGGGCACCTTGAGGCAGAAGTGAGGAAGGGTACCCAAGGGGGGGGGTGAACTGCTGAGAGAGGTGCCAGGAGCCTTCCAGAGCCTCAGGCACTGGCCTCTTCCACTCCGCTCCCCAGAGTTCACCATCTTTGGGAAAGGAGGGTAATTCTTGCTCTCCAAAACAATGGGAGGGATCAGGAAGAAGCCTGATGCCCCATCACTGGAATCCACTAAAGGCCTCTGGTGGACCAGGTTCCCAACTGGGAAAAGTCCTGGGGTACAGTAGTAGGGCCAAGCAGAGCAGCCGCAGTCTTTGAGTTTTATCCGCTGCTGGGCCTGCTGACCACATGCAGGGAATTCACTTTTTCTGAGCCTGTGTCTGGGTAAACAAAACCCCCCACTGCCTTTTCATTGATTAGGACTCAGTGGCCACCCTGTAGGGCAGACTAAAACTGTCTTTGGGGTTTCTAAAGCAGTAAATCCTTACAGAAGCAGATGGCCTCATCTTTTAAGGAGTTGATAAGTTTGAACCGCCAACCTTCTGATGAGCAGCTAAATGTTGTAATCCTATATCACCAGGCGTCCATTGGGTCTGTTTAAAGGAGGAATTAAACTTAGAGAAGGTGGGTGGAGAAGAAAGAAGGCATGGAGAGAGCAGCCAGGCTTGGGTCCAGGACATGCTGCCTTGTGACCACCAGCAAACCCCCTCTACCGTGCAGTCCTGAAGTGGGGTCAAAATAAAACCTATTCTATGACGTAGCTGCTTGAGGTCCCAGGAATCCCAGGGATGCAATGCTTTGTTGAGCCTGATAGTAGGGTGCTTGAGAGGGCCACAGTGCAGAAGGAGTGTGTGTGTGTGTGTGTGTGTGCGCGCGCGCACGCGTGCACGCACACGGGCAGCCAGTGATATGGTGGAAGCGTCTGCCTGAGCTGAAGCAGGTGCACCGACTTTGATAAGTCCCCTTGGTAATGAGGTAACACAAAGGCCCTTGACTGCTGTTCAACTTCCCGCCAAGGCCTCTGTCTAGGATTCCTCTAACTCTGGATCTCCTGCCACTCTCCTGGTCCTCTTGGAAGGGACCCAAGAGTCCTTAAAAGTGTCTTGACCCATAAATGTGTCTCCTCCACTCCAGGCTCCAGGATGAAACCAACTTGAGACTGGAGGCAGAGAACAACTTGGCCATCTACCGACAGGTCAGGGAAGGGGGCTGTGGGGCAAGAAGGGAAAGACATGAAGGCAGCCCAGCCCACCCCAATAGAGCCCCCAGCCCTGCCTCCTAGGGCAACATGCTGCTCCACTTGTCTCGGAAGGAGCAAACAAGGCTGGGGAAGAGAGAAGAGCCAGGGGTCAGAGTGATCCTTTGCCTCCTCCCCACTCCAGGAGGCAGATGAAGCTACCTTAGCTCGCTTAGACTTGGAGAGGAAGATTGAATCTCTAGAGGAGGAGATCCGGTTCCTGAGGAAGATCCATGAGGAGGTAAGACAGATGCGGGGTGTCAGGGGGAACACCAAAGCAGAGAGATACAGCAAGACACAGAGAAAGACTAAAGGAGAAAGAAACAGACAATATCTATTAGTAGTAAAATGCATGCGTGTACATGCACAAATCCCACTGCCACTTCATTTGCTGAGTAGTACAACAGGCCCTTTGCCTAATTGTTCTCCCTTCACAACAGCACAATGAAATAAAAACCATTCCAGTATCACCCTGTCTTCACAGAATAGGACACTGGGACTCAGAGGAAGTAAGGCATTTGTTAAAGTCACACGGTGAGTCTGACTACACTCATTCTACCATCTGTCTCCCTTAAATTGAGAGGCACTTATAAGGAAAGGTCCTACTCAGCTCTGACCCTCAGCTCATAGATCCATAATGCATGTCCCCTTGGAACTGGAGATTACAGGCACACCTATCCACAGACATAGTCTCCGTCACCAAGAACGTAAGCATAGTCTCAGCACTGGCTCTGTCATTTGCCTACTTTAACCTAGACCATGCCATTTCAGCCCACTGAGGTTGTCCCACTTCTGGTAGCCAGAGTCCATGTCTGAGAGCAGGCTGTGGCCTGGTTCTTGAGCCCTGGAACCCTTTCTCTCACCTGGTCAGGAGGTGCAGGAGCTTCAGGAGCAGCTGGCCCGGCAGCAGGTCCACGTGGAGCTGGATGTGGCCAAGCCAGACCTTACAGCAGCCCTGAGAGAGATCCGCACACAGTATGAGGCAGTAGCATCCAGCAACATGCACGAGGCAGAGGAGTGGTACCGGTCAAAGGTAGCCTGACTCTGGGAAGCCTGTCACCTCCAGGCAGTCCTCCTTGATCCACTGGAGAATTGGGAGGGAAGGGAAAGGAAGGTGAGACCAACCTCCAGAAAAGTAAGGTGTCCTGCTCAAGTCGCCAAGCACTTATTATTTGTATTATTATGTGCCAGGTCATGTGTTCAGTACTCTACATGATGATTTCATTATGAAATAGATGCTGCTGTTCAATAGATGAGAGAACCGAGGTCCAGAGTGGTTAAGTAATTTGCCCAAAGTCACACAGCTCTAAATAGTAGAGTAGGATTTGTAACCCTAGCCCATCTCACTCTGGAGTCTGCTATCATTCTTGACCCTCTGCTAGTCTGTGGACATTTACTCCTGCCAGGCAGTGTCTGGGATAGAGTTCTACTTGGCTGAAAAGATGCAATGTGTCCTCTAACAAGCACAGTATGCCTGTCCCCATACACCTGAGTGCTATAGCATTCATAGAGGACACCAAGGGATAGAACTTAGATATGCAGTTTGAGGACCAAGGAAGACATCATAGAAGTGGGTATTTGGCTGGGTATAACAAATAGATAAACAGAGGAGAAAGGAAGAAGCATGTAGAATGGTGGCCACCACCTGAGCGAAGGGACAGGCCCAGTGATGTTGGCCCAGAGTCCCAAGCTGGGGAATGTGTGTGACTAAAACCAATGGTGGTTCTGAGCAGGGGAGGGCAAGAGCTTGGAAGAGCTCCCTGGGGATGGAGTTGAGTGGGCTATTAGAATCCAAGACCCTGTCCAGCACATTCCATCCTCCACTCTGGTCAATGGTGGGGAAGAACAGCACTCAGCTGGGTCCATGGAGGTTCTGGATTCTGTGGCAAACACGTTCAATTATTTAACCAGCCCCTTCCGTAAGTGCTGGAGGCACAGCAGTGGCTACTTTGCCCTTTCCCCGGGACACAATCCCCGAGAATAACTACACCCAAGCCAATGTCCTGGGGTGACCTGGACAATCTCCCTGATCTCCCAAAGGCCATGTTTCCCATGGGCCATCACAGCTGGCACCCAGAGGTGCCCCAGTCTGGCCCTCAGTCTAAGGTCCTTTCTTCATCCAGTTTGCAGATTTGACTGACGCTGCTTCCCGGAACGCGGAGCTGCTCCGCCAGGCCAAGCACGAGGCCAATGACTACCGGCGCCAACTGCAGGCCGCCACCTGCGACCTGGAGTCCTTGCGTGGCACGGTGAGCGTGGGCAGGGTTGGTGACGGGTGCACCCTGGGGGCTATGGGAAGAGGTACCTGGATCATATCCCGTATGAAGCAGGAGCGGGGTTGGGTACTGCAGGGGTGGGGCCCGCGAGAAGACGGGGCAGCGGGGTGGGGGTGTCATTGTGGCGGGGCGTGGAAGGACAGGTACGCTCCTCCTTGCAGAACGAGTCCCTGGAGAGGCAGATGCGGGAGCAGGAGGAGCGCCACGCGCGGGAGGTGGCGAGTTACCAGGAGGCGCTGGGCCGCCTGGAGCAGGAGGGGCAGAGTCTCAAGGACGAGATGGCCCGCCACCTGCAGGAGTACCAGGAGCTGCTCAACGTTAAACTGGCCCTGGACATCGAGATCGCCACCTACCGGAAGCTACTGGAGGGCGAGGAGAACCGGTGAGCCTTGCCCACAGCCTAGGGGAGCCTCACTGGTCTTCGCTGCTGCCTCCTGAAGTCGACCTCGCTCTCAAATTCAGCCTGTGTCCGGCCTCCCTCACACTCCAGTGCCCACCTCTGTGCTTGCTTCACACACAGTAGATACTCAGTATATGTTTGATGAATGCATAGCTTAGGCTTTCTTCAACCAATATTGATTAGGTCGCACACCACAGACTTGGATCACCCCTCAAATTTACAGGCTCACTCTCCACCCTCCCAGCAAAGATTGGGCTTATTTCATGCTGATTGAGCTCTTCTGCCTTCTCAGAACATCCTTCACATTTTCTGCCTCCTCTGCCTTTATCCAAGCCCCACCGTCTTTTGGACAGAAATGTTCCCCTTCCAGATGCCCCTCACAGACTCCTGGAGCCACAGAGAATGTATGTTGGCTGCTGGGGCAGATAGGAGATGAGGTTGGCCTCTCTTGGAAGGACCTTTAGCTTGCTGTCACGTCTTGATGTGGTTGACCTAGGGCAACTTGGTCACTATTTTCTGTCTTTCAGCATCACCATTCCGGTGCAGACCTTCTCCAACTTGCAGATCCGAGGTCAGTAGAGCAGGGCCTTATGGGAAGGCGAGTGTACTCCCGCCCCTCCCTCAGGCGTGTGGGCTGTTGCTTTGATCTGGGGCCAAGGACCAGGGCAAAGGGGTCTGGAACTCTCCTTGGAGGTTTCACCCAGAACACACCCTGCCAAGGCCTTTCCCAGGGAAGCTTCCAGCTGTTCTTCGTCTGTTCTGACCTGTGTCCCGCACCCCCTCCTTGCACCCTATCCCCTTACGAAAAGGGGTGGGAGGGTCTTAACCTCTTTGGTCCTCAGGTCTGCGAACAAGTTCTGCCTGAGTGTTTATGTTTTTGTGTTTTGTTTTTTTAACTGCTTGTCACTACAGGGGACAAAAGCACCAGAGATGGGGACAGTCACAAGGTCACGAGACACCTTAAAAGCCTCACAATACAAGTTATTCCAATAGAGGCTCACCCGATTGTAAAGGGAGCCCAGCCCGCTCTAGGTTAGCTGTCTGCCTCTCAGCCTGACAGGGAATGTGCCTCACCAACCCATTTTCTGGAGCTTCTTGGGCTCCTTCACCCCCGGCAACTTGAGTACCCAGCACAAAACTTGGCACAGAATATGTATAGGTGAAGCAAGCAGAACTGGCCAGTACTGTCCTTGAGTGCTCCGGAAGGGAGACCCGGGTGCAGGTTCTGCCTCCCTCACGTCCCTGTCACTGGCAAGGCCCCTTGGGTCTGGCGGTGCTTGGCGACAGCCAGGCTATTTAATTCCCATGTCCCCAAGGTTCTATTGCTCAGCTCATTGCTGATTCAGCCCAGAGGATTATTTCCCCCTGGATTGCTGCTTCTGTAATGAATAAAGTTTTATGCTCTCTGTTCTTAATTTTAAATATTAGTGAATGTGACATGTTACATTTTTCTCTCCGAGGGAGGGAAAACCTAAATTACTTTTTACTTGTATGTGGCCCACAAATTACTTTAGATAGAGAGGAAAATTCTTTGGGGATAGAAAGTTAACGAACACTTGATGTGCACATTCCAGGGCTTAATTCAGCATCAGAAAGGTTAACCAAGCTGACTGGGTAGAGGTAATACTGCCAGGTGTCAAGTGGTAATACGTGCTGGACAAATACATGGCACAAAGAAGTAGGGATCAGAAAAGGGTCCAAGCAGAAAAGGGTCCCATATATTAAACCAGATGTTAAACACACATTTCCATTTGCTGACACCTCACTGCCACCTAGAGAACTAGGCATCAGCATCCCATTTTGCAGATGGGGAAACTTGAGGCTAAGAGTTAAATTAACTTTCCTACAGTTGTATGACTTGTTAGTGGCTAGCTTAGGACTCAAACTTGAATCATTGCTCCATTCTTGGCACAAGGCTAGATTGTCAGAAAGCCAGGGGCCAGATAAGAGTTTGCAGAGTGACTGAAATGAAGCCAGGCCAGGAGACACAGCAGGGCACAGGACAGAGTAGCCAGCCAGCCAGCACATTCCCCACATGGTCCTTTGGAAATGACTCAGCTGCTCCTTGTCTGTTAAGCTGGGTTCCCCAACTCAGGAATCGGGGGGTATGATGGGGAGGTAGGGGAAGGAGATGATGTCTAGTCCCCAAGAGCCCATGGTGGGGCCTCCTGTCCTCATGCTTCTAGAAACCAGCCTGGATACCAAGTCTGTGTCTGAAGGCCACCTCAAGAGGAACATTGTGGTGAAGACTGTGGAGATGCGGGATGGAGAGGTAAAGAGGCTGAGGCCAGCCTTGAGGACAGCAGTGACTGATCCACAGACAAGCCCTGACAGGGTACAGGAGAGCCCTGGGGAGTTGGACGTACTTCTACTCTCCAGCCCTCCACTGGTCAATCTAAGGGGCTGCTGGGAGCCTAGGCCTCAGATAGGGTCTTAATGCAGGCTCTCTCCCTTTCCCACCCTCAGACTGAGGCCTAGGGGAAAGAAAAAGTTTGCTTTCACTCCAGCCGGGCTCACATATTGGTAAGAGAGAAGGCTTTTGATTTCCAGCTAGATGAAAGAGACCTGCCAGGTTCCCACCAGCAATAGATAATCTAACACTATTAGCTTACTAGGTACCTGGAGTATGCAAGATTCTTTAACAGTTTTATCCTATTTACTCCTCTGGCTGCACTTGTCATCATAGAATAGAAAGGTCCAAGGAGGCTGGAACTTGGTCAAGTTGCCTAGCAGCAGTGGGCTGGGCTGGGTGACTCTGTGTGAGGTCCTCACTGTTGCACTATGCATTCCTCTGTTCCCTGCAGGTCATCAAGGAGTCCAAACAGGAACACAAGGAAGTGATGTAACACAGAACCCACTCAGTGGCCCCTTCTCCACAGTGTGGGTGCCTGTAGCAGGAGGCAGGGTAGCTGCCCTCCTTGTTAGCCAATCTTCCCAGACCCATGTTTCCACCCTCCCTGCCTCTTTGCTGGCTTGCTGCCCTGGGCCCCATCAGCATCAGCATGCCCAGCAGCATCCATGGGCACTCAGCAACTACTCAGAGCTGTGCTACACTCACCTACCCTCAGGGGGTGGGCTGCTAGCAGCTTGGGTTTGAATTGAGAGGGAGAAAAGAAGCTAGGATGTGCAGGGAGACCTGATAAATCACCCTCCACATACCCAATACTTGTTGTTATGGCAACTGTTGCCAGAGCCAGTTTCCACGAGTGTCTGGGAACTATGAGTTTCCTCCAGTTCCTGCTGGAGGAAAACCTAGACTCAGGCAGCAAGGGAACTCCATGCAGGCAAGGAAGTCCAGCCAGGGTTTGCTTCTAGCCTGACCCTGACCAAACTGAGAGTAGGTGGACATGTCCTGTCACCTGGTGTGGTCTAGACAGAATTCCTGACCAGCCCAAATCCCAGGGGGGCTGCTGAGTGATGACACAGTGCCTCAGTCCCATTGTCATCCTCCAGGGAACCAGTCAGTGGGATGCTGTGGGCACGTGGGAGGGATCTTGATTCTCAGCACTTGCGGGGATAACAATGCACGTAGAGAGGGAGTGGGTGCTGGGAGGAAGTAGAGAGGGGATGTCTGGCTCATGTGTAGGTAGAGAGATGTCAAGCCTCCTATAGAGGATAAAGGGGCTGCTGCTGGGGATGGTGGGGTGCTGTGGGTGACGCTTGGCCTCTGGTTTGTGAGATCAAGAAGTGACTCATCTTCTTGAAGAAGCTGATGAAACAGGAGAGATTGAGGCTGCTGCCCATGGCAAAGGGAGGCATGAGGGATGGGGGCGGGGGATTGTAGCTTCGTTCTAGTGCCAAAGGCCTGTTCCTTAATTTCTAGTTCTTGTCCATCTAGGCCTCTGAATCTCTGGGGCTGCTGCCTCCTGATCCCCCAAAGGTTGCTTGGTAAATCTACCCCTGCTTCTGACTCTCTCTGCTGCACAGTGACCAGCTGCTTCTCCCTAAGCCAAGGCCTTCTGTACTTCACTCTCACTCACACATAAAATATAACTCCCATTATTATTATTATTTAGTTTCCAATTTTATTAGCCAAGAGCTTGAGTGAGGCATAAGCCTGGAAAAAGATCAGCTCAGGGCAGACACCACTTCATGCACTTCTCCTGCTCCCCGGAAAGATGGCAGTGGGCCCCGAAATGGAGCTGAGAAGACCCACCCCAGGGTCCTCCTCTCCATGTGAGGCCAAAGGGAGGGAGAGGTAGAAATCTCTCTCTTTCCCTCAGGACTTGGTCCCTTCTCCACCCCTTCCTTGCCTTATTAATGCTAACATTCAGGGCATTGCTGTGGCCTTTAGTCATTGAGGAAAAAAATAAAAATGCTGTGGCCTTCCCCAGGGTGAACTTGGATCTGTGGGGGAACGAGGGGCTGGAGAGGACTAAAGCCCTGGATGAGGCTCCACTTGTTTCTTGTCACGGGTCATTCCCTACTCCCTAAACTGTATCAGACCACCATTGAAGCAGCCACAAAGCCACATGACAAGTTCACAACCGCCCTGGAGCGCCAACCTAGCGCACCTTCTAGTCTCACCGCTCAGCCTGGGTATAGTCTCTGAATTCGCTCCTTACCTATTTCCTCTGTGCTACCAGTTGCCACCTGACTTATGGTGACCTTCTGCTTTTTCAGAAGTAGATTGCCATGGTGGGCTCTGGTGGCCTAATGGCAAGAAGCTGTGCTGCAATCCTGAAGGTACATGGTTAGAATCCACCAGATGCTCTGCTGGAGAAGGAGGGGCAATCTCCTCCTGTGCCAGTCAGATCTGACTCGATGGTACACAAGGGGAGGCCTTTCTTCCGGGGTGCCTTTGGATGGGCTTGAACCTCCAACTTTTCAGTTAACAGCCAAGCACATGTACTAGTCTTTACCTTTGTCCACCAAGCCTCCATTTCTTCCTTGGATGGGGCTCGGGAAGAAGCCAGAGGCAACACAGGCTAGGACCCCTCAATCTTTCCTCCTTCTCCTTGCTACCCGCAATTCAATCAGTACACATCTGGCAGTCTTCAGAGGCAAGGTGAAAGTACCCTGAACACTATTCAACACAGACTAGATGATTGAATTTGGGGTTCATTTCTTTTTGGAGTGTAAATACAGAAAATATGTCCACCCTGGCTCCCTCCAGCCTGACTTAAGTCCCTAAGCTCTCACCTGCTTCTGGCTTTTTCACTTCCCAGATCAGGCCCCAGATATGCCCATAAAAAATGGCAAGTGTATGATAACTGACAGATCTGGCCACCCCTCCTTCCTACAAGCCCCAGTCACGGAGGGCCATTCAGACGCATCGGGTATCATTTCACGTTTGACATTTAAAGCATAACTGGTCTTTCACATTTCACATTTAAGCACAACTGGTCTTCAGGGCTGAGGAAGAGAGGGCCTAGGGAGAGAAGTTGGGACAAAAGCGAAATAAGTAACAGCAGCAACGACAGAGGTGAACAGTGGTAAAGACTGCAGTGATGAGCAGGTAGCCGATGAGGGTGAGCTGGAGGGCAGAGCGAGTCTCAGGGTCTGAGAAGGAGACCTGATAGTGCCCGCGGGACTTCACAGCCAGCCGGAAGCCTGCGATCTTCACACCCTGCCGCCAGCAATAGTAGATGGCGCGGTCACTCAGCTGGGTGAAGCGGATGTGGAGGTGGTGGCCGTGGTCGATGAACACTCTCATGGACCTGTTGACACCTACCAGGTACTGTGTGCGGTACAAGTGCTGGTGGTCCTTGTCCCAGGCCACAGCATGCTCTGGCCGGGCACCAGGGCAGGAGATGATGAGTCCGTGTCCCAGCCTCTGCTCGTGGAACTGAATGGGTACCTGGGGCACCCAGGGCCGGCTGCCCAGCTTGGACACGTAATTGAAGATGGCCAGCATGCTGTCCCGGATCGTCTTCTGCCTCTTGCAGGACACCAGGCAGCTCCGAACCAGCAGTTCAGGAGTGTGACCGCTGGCTAGGGTCCGCAGCTTCCTTGGCACAGCCTGCGAGCCACAAGACACTACGTTGGGCATCGTCTTGCGGTAGCGTGGGGACAGGCCAGGGCTCTGCAGGTAGCAGAGGCCAATGCGCCACTGCTCCCCACGGACCCCACAGCGGTCACAGGGAGTCCACTCCCAGAAGGTGGTGAAGACATGGAGGTCCCCATGGTACTCGTCTTCAAAAGGCTGCTGGCCTTCATCCTTGAAGGTGGCCACCATGCCCTCATTGCTCTGGATGTCCACATCATAGGCGTAAAAGTAATCCCCCTTGCGGGTCCCGCAGAAGTACAGGCCTGAGTCCTCGGGCTGGGCCCGGAAAACCAGCAGGCTAAACATGCGGATGCTGAAGCGGACCAGCATGTCGCTGCCCGTGCGCACGTGGGATGCCTCCGTCAGCACCCGCCCATCAAAGTCCGTCAGCACTTTGGTGTGGCCGCTGCCCAGGTGCTTCTGGTAGTACCAGACCACAGCTGACACCTCCTCGGGCTTGCAGTGGCAGGGAAGCTCGAAGGTCATGTCGGCCAGGTAGGCTGCATTGTCAAACATCAAGAAAGCCGGGCAGGGTGTTTTCCAGAAAATGTTCTCCTTTTCTACAATTTCGAAGGCCTGGAGACTGCCCCATGCCCACAGGAGCACAGTGGCATGGGCCAGGCTCATGCTGCGGGAGTGGAAGGCCGGAGGTGGGAAGGCCACACCAAGGCATGAAAAGCCTTTGAGACTCTTAGACTCTTAAATTCACTTCTAAGAAGTTTAAGTCAATAAGGATGAAGCAGCCAGAAAAGCAAACAGCAGTCTACAGAGGAAGTTGCCAAAGACAAGGCAATTTATTCTCAGTTACTACACAAGAGGCCTTTCTAATGTTCCAGACCTTCTAATGCTTATTATGGGATAAGCATTCTAGAACCTGGCTCTCACTTCCCTTTCTAGAACACTGGCGCTCAACCCAAGAATGGGTCAGGAGAAAGTGAAATGAGAAGCAGGGGCCCAAGTGTTAGGACAAGGAAACCTCTGCCCCACTGCTCCAGGCCCTGGGTCACCTGTATGGTGGACACTCTTCCCTTTTGTCAGTCTAGGAGATAGAGGAAACCCATGCACCTGACCACTGGCCATCTGAGTCTGAAGAAGCCTGGGAAGCTAACCAGGCCTGTACTGATGGCTGGGGTTCTCCCAAGCCCATCCTCCAAAGGAACTCAGTCTGTATCCAGAAATGCTATACCCTAAATGAGGCAGCATTTGATCATTTATTGATCAGATGTCCATTCATTGGGCTTGGGTTCTAAATAGATTTATTTAGAGCTATGAAAATCAGTACTCATCTACCATGGTGGATAAACACCTTTGCATTGTCCTTTCTTTGAGGCCTAACTGTAGCCAACATCATCTTAGACACCCACTCATCTCTCAGCAACAGAAGGGCTAGTTGGCTTGGCAAGCTCTAAAAGTGCCATCTACAGCTTCTTGGCTTGACTTGCCACACGGTTCAAAACACAGAGCCACTGAGAGACTAGAAAAATGGGGAAGATTCAGTTCCTGTTTTTGCTCTGAAAATTTCAAGTAGTGAAGACAATCAAGTGTGGGCTTCTCATTATAGTCCAAGGCCAACAATAAATTGTCTCCAGTCACTACTGGAGGCTTCTGAGGGCATCTGGCTCTGTCAGTCCACCTGGTAGAGCTCTAGTAGCTCCTCCAAGAGCCTCTCTTCCTCCTGGGGCCCACCAGGCTGCTCCCTCAGACCTGGCTCCTCAGGGCTGGACCCTTTGTTTGTGAGTGTGAGTGTATTCATGGCTTGCAGCTTCTGAAACAAAGCTCTGCAGCTCTCCCTCTCTGCATGGCTCAGTAGGCTCAGGTTCAAGGTGAAACGCCCAGTGTTGGCCAGGCTTCTCAGAATCCCCAGTACAGCCACTCGGTCGGCTGGCTGCACGTGATCAGCCAGTGTTACCAGAAACTCCCCTAGAAGTCCAAAGCCCACATCTGCTTGGAAGAGGTGGCCCAGCTTTGAGCCCCCAAGCTGTAGCAGGGCCAAGTAGCGCTCTGGCCCACTCTGCAAGTGTCGACGCCAATCTCGGTAGAACTCTGCTGAAGTCTCGGGCTGAAAGGATGTTTTCTCCTAGACAACAGAAAGAGGAAAGGGGTCTGGGGCAATGAGGGCTGCCTGTAATTTTCATCTTTGCTCTAGTATTGCATTCTAAACATTGGGAAGGCTGTAGTCCTGAGGGCCTCAGTTTCAAGTCAGGGAGTTGGAGGACAGAAAAAGGACAGAGGGCCCTAAGAAAAAACTATGCCATGATTTGAGATTGTCAGTTGTGTCAGAATTTTCTTTTTTATAAATGACGACACAAGACATTAAATCAGGGTTTACTTTGAGTAGGGTGGTAGGAATGACTAGAAATTTCAGGAAGAAAGAAATGCAAGGTAAGTATCAAGGAAGCTGGGTCTCCCTCCGCACAACAGGATCATTGTCCTAAACACAGGATAAGTAGGAAGCAGAGAAGCCCACATCTGCTCAGGGCTGGAGGCCTGCCCAGGTCACCTTTCTGACTTGATCTGCCCAGCCCTGCTTGGTTTCACCATCCATTTGCTGCTATGCTTTCTGAGATCAGAGACAGAAACCTGCCTCTGTCGGCTTAAAAGGAAACAAGGTGGAGATTTATGTTATGAGAAGATAGTTTTAGGAAATTAGGGCAGAGAACCTGCTGAGCTAAAATGGCTGGGCCTCACCTACCTGGACTATGTCAGTGGCTTCATCCTGGGAGGTGCTACCCTGAGTAGTGTGACAGTTCCAGAGCACAGTTCTCTTCCCTCCCATTTTGTCCTTCTTCTCCAGCGGTTTCAGATGTGAAGCAAGGACAATAGCCCTGGAGGCAAAGGACAGAGACCGAGGGGTGGACTTTGTGCAGCTACGAATGAGTATGAGACAACTGGACTTTGCATAAGAAAGACTTAATCTGTTAACAGGCTATTTATTACAAATAGAACTGTGTCTCCCTAAAATATGTGCTGGCATCTAAACCCCTAGACCTGATGATGTAATCCTGTTTAGAAAAAGGATTCTCCCTGTTTTGTAAGTGAGGTCAAAGGGTATGTTCTGAACCTAATCACCTCTGAGTTTAAAAAGTAGATTAGGTATAGGAGCAAATACATACTGGCGAAAACAGATGCCATGTGAGGATGGTCAAGGAACCAAAGAGGGCCTGTGTTACCAATAAGGAAGAAATCAGCCTCCAGAACTGTGAGAAAATAAAACTTTTGTTCACTAATCTACTTGTAGTAGTTCTGTTACAGCCACTCTATGAAACTAAGGCACAAAATGACAATAATTACAGCAACACAGTAACTGACAGCTTTTCAGCACTTCCTATGTACTAGACACTGTGCTCCAGAGTCTAACAGCCAATAGCTCATTGAATCATAACACGTGTTCTCATTTTACAAATGAGGAATTAAGGTTCAGAGAGGTTAAGTAACTTGCATAAGATCACACAGCTAATAGGAAGTAAGGCCAGAATTGAAGGCTGGAATTGTCTGACCCCAGAGCCCTTGCTTTATCTACTGTAGTCCACTGTCACAGGGCAATGGCAGTGAGCCAACCTGAACTCTTCATAAGAAGCCACTCTCTGTTCCACTGCCCGAAACTTGGCAGCATTCTCCCGCGTGTACTTCTCATCAGCATTAAGTGCAGCCTGCAGTTCTTTCTCCAAAGCCTTGAAGTTGATGATGTTATTCCTTTCCATGGTCTGTGCCAAAGGAGATAAGGAAAATGGGCATCAGCGGAGGGGCAATATTAATATTGGGAGGAAGAGGGAGGCTCTGGATTCTTTGTAAGCCCATAAAGAAAAAACCCTCTAGGGTCCTAAATGAGGAAGGAAACTTCACTCAAACCAGATTTAATGATTGAGCATGACATCAAGTAGAAGGAGCAATGCAGGGAGAACAATATCCCTGTCGTGAAATCCTTCTCTCTTGCTCAGGGTTGGAGCACACAGTTCCTTCAATACTCTGGCAACTCCTTTAGTCTTGACACTATACTTCTGAAAACCTTTGAGTATCTGAGCCTGAGCCTGCTTCGCTCTTTGTACAAGCACGTAATGGAACCATGGTGCCATAATACCCTGGTGGTGTGTTATGCTAACCAGTTGTGGAAGAAAGATGTGGCTGAGTGGTAAGAAATTACTCTGCCAATCCAAAGGTACAAGGTTTGAATCTACCAGCTGCTCTGTAAGACAATCTCCTCGCGTGGGATTTGCTGCTTCTGAAAACCCACTGGAGAGTCAACCATGGGTTGGGTCTGACTTGATAGTACACATTACAATCAGTTCTCAAGATATTTATAGTCTTGGAAAACCAGTGGCAGTGGGTATAGAAGGTTATCTAGATGGGTTCCAGTCTTTGTTATTTATTTGCGGTAAAATATCTTTTAGTCTCTCGATGAATAAGGCTAGACTGGTGGAGTCAGCATCAACAACACTAGGACAGGAATACAAGACTAGAAAAAAAAAAAAAAAAAAAAAGACTACAGCAACCTCAACCCCAATGGCTAGAAGCCCAACGCCAACAAGAGGCAGAGCGGGGCTGGTCCAGGAAGTGAACTCAGGAACTAGCTCTTTTAAAATCTCTCCAGCATCTGAACAGAATTATCAAGTAACCCTTCCACCCCTCAGTTTAAACACCCTGACCTCCACCCCTCAGTTTAAACACCCTGACCTTCACCCCTGCAGTCCAGGTCTCGGATCCCTTGCTTTTTAAGGGATCCCCAGAAACAAGAGTACAAGAAACCCACTCAGCATAAATCAAGGCGAGCCAACCGTGGTTGCCTAGCAACTGTCCCAACAACCTGCCCACGTGATTTCCCGAAGGCCCCCCCCTTTTGGGAGTGGCTCTGAGATGCCTGATCAAATATAAACGGCTTCAAATTATACTCCCTTTAGCACAGTCTGCACCTCAGCTTAAGGACCCACGACTCCATCTCACCTATTGCTGTCTCTGCCGCCGGCAAGCCTCGGAGCCGGTGTTCAGGCGGAGGACTGTCCTCTGAGCACACGCAGTCGCGTAGCCCCAGGGGTCCTTCCTGACGGCTGACTCGGCGTCGGCGCGGCGTGCGGCGGAACCGCGGGCTTTGGCGGCGGACTTGGGGCTTTAGACTGAGCAGACAGGAGGTGAGCTGATGCAAGTTATCGGCATGGAAGAGTTGCTCCTGGTGGGATGGGAAATTAAAGAATACCAGATATGGAGAAACATTCTATGCCGACTGCTCGCCTTTCACGTTGCTTCTGGGGAAATTGAGGCCTGGAGCGGAAAGGGGACCAATTCAAACCGTTCCCCCCGCCCTCTGGATTTTGGGGCTGCATCGTTGTTGACCGTAAATACTTGTCGGCAGAAGTCATGCTGTTTAGTCTTCTCTCTCGCTGTCTTCGTCTGGATCCATTTCACTTCTTCAGTGTTCTGTTTTCTTTTGAGATATTGTAGTAGAGAGAAGGTGCCGTTAGGACAGACATCAAAAGTCAGTAACTAGCTTTGTGTAACCGTGGGCAGCTCAGCTAGCTTCTCATTGTTCTGGCAAAGCCGTTCGTTCTTTAAGTAAATACGTCTTGTTTGTTCCAAAGCAGAAAAGCCAAGTCTTTGCTTAAGTTGTGTTTTGGGAAGGTGAACAGTGAAGGTATTTAGCAATAGAGTTACTGCCCATTCAAAGACAAAGAAGTGATGAAGGCACAAGATCTGGAACAGGATTGTATTCAGTTGCTCTCGAGTGGATTTCGACTCATAGTGACTCCCTGTGTGTGGAGTAGAACTGCTCTACAGGATTTTCACATCACCAGGCCTGTCTTCCAAGGTGCCTCTGGAGGTTTAAAGAACTGCCAACTTTTCAGCCAATAGTGGAACATTTGTGCCACCCAGAAACTCCTCTGAAAGACCTAAATGATAGAAATGAATGAGTGTGGATGTGTTCTAATAAAGCTCTATTTGTAGAACTGGTAATAGTGAATTTTATTTAAACAACAAAAAATACACCAACTCATTGCTGTCAAGTCAGAATTGACTCGGAGCAGACCTCCAGTGGGTTGAGCAGAAGATGCTTGCCCATCTTTATCCAGCACAGCTGCTCATGGCTTGGAAGCCCAGAGAAGAGCAGCCTTTGGTTCAACAGCTTGCCTCCTGGACCTGGCCACCAGAGCTCCCAGACTCATGAAATATTAGAAAACATTTCAACTGTTTGAAAATGTAGAAAGGCGTAAATAAACTAGCGTGTGGGGGGAAGTAGTTATATACTGTTATACAAATAAAGATTTACTATTATTAAAAAGGCTTTAGCTTTTTTTTTGTGGTACAAAGAGCAGATTTGAGCCATAGTTTTCTGACTTTTGCACTGAAGTTTTAGCAGGTGGGGAGGCTTTGTTCAGTAACTTATTTTCGTGTAAATAAGGAAAAAGAATAGTCTTATTCTTGAATCTCTTGTCTTAGTAATTTTTAAATAAAAATATTATTCAACAATTTTTTTAAAAAGAAGGATATGTAAACAATGAGTAGGACAGAAAAGAAAAGATCTTTTAGAGGAGCAGTGGGTTGAGATAACTGGAGAGGAGGTTTGTAAAGGAATATGGTCCACCATAAAGGTGTGACTCTGTCATAGAACCCCTAGGTTACCTTACAAGACTCTAACTCTTCTCTCTTCTCTTTCAATTCTAGCATCATGGATACTGACTTATATGATGAGTTTGGGAATTATATTGGACCAGAACTTGATTCTGATGAAGATGATGATGAATTGGGCAGAGAGGCCAAAGATCTTGATGAGGTAACACAAACTTAACTGTTTTCTAAATCTCTCACTTGGGGGGGGGAGGGGAAGGGAAAATAATACTGAATTCTCTGTGCTCCCATAATATCCTGTATTTATTATTATTACCATTTTTATGGTAAGACTTACTGAAGTCTTTTACTCTCCCTAAGAAATTTAGCTACTGAAGGTCCAAAACAAAGTATAAAATAATTTCATCAATGAAGTTATCTTTTGATCTGAGCTCTAGTTCATCTGGTGACTCATTCATTGCCATTAGGTGGGAACCAACTCATAACAGACCCTGCAGCAGGTATCTGAGGATACAAATTACACAGGAAATTTCCATCTTTCTCTCTCAGAATTATTGATGGGTTTAAACAGTCAAAGAGGTGAGGCCCTTGAGTTAGCAGTGCAGCTCAGCAGACTGCATCACCAGAGTTCTTTTATCTGAGAGTTGCTTCTTACATTTCCCTGGAGTGTCTTGACAGTTGTGAATAAATCCAATATAGAAAAGCTAGTTAGAATTTCCAAGTGCTACTCTGGGCACTCTCTCATAAGCTCAAGTTATAAAGATGCATGAAAAGAATATAAAGGGAAGGTACATGTCTAAGGTCAGATGAAAGATTCCTGTGATTCTCCATCAGTGGCCTCTGGAGAAGGAAGTCCACATGGGCTGAGGCTTGCAGAAAACACCAAAGGTGCCTTTTATGTTTTAGCAGTAAAACAAAATTGAACAGGAATTGCTTTAACAGTAAAGATGTGATAGTCTCAGAACAAAAGTCCTGGCTTCCATTCTTCTCCATCAAGGGAATGTCCTTCAAACGGGGAAACTTGAAAAGAGGAATTGAAGCCATATATTTATATAAAGTTAAAAGAACATTTTGTAGCTTTGTTGTTAGGTACCTTTAAGTTGATTCCAACACATTGCAGCACCATGTGTCAGAAAACCCCATATGGTTCTTTCCTTGGCTGTGATCTTAATGAGGGCAAATAGCTAAATCTTCTGTTGAGTCATTGTGTGAGTTTGAACCACTAACCTTCCAGTTTGCACTGGAGTATTAAACCATTTGTGCCACTTCAGGATAGCGTCAGTTCTGCAGGCCCAGATGAGTCCAGATGGGGTGTGTGGGAGAAGAGAAGTAGAAGTGAACTGAAGCCACAGTGGTAATATGTAAGAACTCTGAAAAGAAAAGAAAAAAAGAAGAGGACAGTAGTGCCAGAAACTGGATCAGGACTTTCTTGTTCCATTTTTCAGAAAAGGATATAAGGCTTTTGGTTTTAGAAACTACAGACTGATAAGTAAGCATGGTATGGATCCATAGTAAAATTATGGAAGGATTTTTTTCTTTTCTTTTTTTAGTACCTGCTTATAAATTCTGTTTTTCATTCAGTTATTCATGTACTTTGTTTTATCATATTAATTGATTAATATAATTGATTTATGTAGTTAATTGCAACATCTGCTCAACCTCTTATCCTCTTATTGTGTATTACCTTTCCTTTCACTCAACTTACCTGTTAGTTTTTACTTCCTCTCTTTTCCTCTCTCTCTCTTTGAATTCCTGTTAAGCATCTAAGAATTATTTTGTGTGTGAACCTTTCCTTGGCGTTTTATAATAGTTGTCTTATACTATAGTTGTCTTTTTGTGACTGACTAATGTCACTCAGCCTAATTTGTTTTGGATTCATCCATGCTATGTATTGTTTTGATACTTGCTGGTTTTTAGTGATACATAGTATTCTATTGTGTGACTTTTTTAAAAACTATTTTAAAACGAAACTATTTTTTTATGTCCTTTATAGATAATTGGGTTGTTTCTAACTCTTATATAAATAATGGTACAGTAAACATGGGTGTGCATATATCAGTTCATGTCAGCAGTTCATTTCTTTGGGGTGTATACTTGATAAAGAAATTCTGGATCTAATAGTACTTCTATGGAGCGCTGGTGGCCT